GAAAAAAAAAATCAGCTCTCAGATTGCAGGAGTGAGACTTATTCTTTCCATCCAAACCATAAGATTCTCTTATGGTTTCTTCCCTTACCACTCACCTGTAGCCTCCTGCTTGGGAAATTCGGAATGGCTGGTTCTGAGAGACAAAAACACATTAAAGTATGGGATCTGAAGACTGAGGGAGAAAATGGGGCATTAGAAGAGGCATGGGAATCACAGACATACAAACAGGGTATCTGAAGAAGAGAGGGGCGCAAGGTATGTCAAGCATATCCACCTCTTGGTGGACTCTTCATGTGACGAACCTACAAAACAAAAAAATACAAGGAGGAATTTATATAATGAGAAAATCCTTCACTTCATTCCCCTTCCCTAGTGTATAAAACTGGTGCTTCCCTGGGGTGCCTGAGTGGCTCAGTCGCTTAAACACCCGACTCTTGATCTCAACTCAGGTCTTTGATCTCAGGGTCGTGATTTCGAGCCCCGAACTGGGCTCCATGCTGGGCATGGAGCCTACTTATTAAACAAGCAAGCAAGCAAACAAACAAACAAACCAGTGCTTCCCTGAACTCACCATGCTGGGTACATCTGTTGATGAAGAAGACAAGAGAGGAAGAGAATCAAAATGGAAAGGCAGCTGAAGGTGGCAGCAAAGATTAATCCATTGGCTGGTGGGAGAGGAGCAGGTCGGAGAATCAGTTTGGCTCCTGAGACACCCTGATCAAGTTTAGTCCAACAGGTGTGAGGAGCCAGACAATCTGGCTTCCAAAACTTGCAGCTACCACTTCTGAGCTGGAACTTCTGATTACTATGGGAATTTCCTTAATCTCCCTGACTCTCCATTTTCCCATTCAAAGTGAGGATAAGAACAGTAGCTGCTGGACTGGATGGCAGGGGGTTAACTGGGTGGGCACTCGCAGAGAGGGCCTCGCACAAGGGAAATCTCCAATAAACGTTTCAGCCGTATCAATAATTCTGATTATTTGTCGTGAGCCTCTTTGTGCTAGGCGCTTCACATGTGTTCTCATCTTGACAAGAAGCACATGAGATGGTGGGAATGCAAGCTGGTACGGCCACTCTGGAAAACAGTATGGAGGTTCCTCAAGATGTTAAAAACAGAGCTACCTTATGACCCAGCAATCGCACTGCTAGGTATTTACCCCAAAGATACAGATGTAGTGAAAAGAAGGGGCACCTGCACCCCAATGTTTATAGCAGCCATGTCCACAATAGCCACACTGTGGAAGGAGCCCAGATGTCCATTAACAGATGAATGGATAAAGAAGATGTGGTGTATGTACACAATGGAATATTACTCACCCATCAAAAAATGAAATCTTGCCATTTGCAATGATGTGGGTGGAACTAGAGGGTATCATGCTAAGCAAAATAAGTCAGTCAGAGAAAGACAATTATCATGTGGTTTCACTCATATGTGGAACTTAAGAAACCAAACAGAGGATCATAGGGGAAGGGAAGGAAAAATAAAACAAGGTGAAGTCAGAGAGGGAGACAAACCATAAGAGACTCTTAATCATAGGAAACAAACTGACAGTTGCTGGAGGGGAGGAGGGGGAGGGATGGGGTAACTGGGCGATCGACATTTAGGAGGGCATGTGATATAACGAGCACTGGGTATTATATAAGACTGATGAATCACTGACCTCTACCTCTGAAACCAATAACACATGATATGTTAATTAATTGAATTTAAATAACATAACATTAAATTAAAAAAAAAAAGAAGCATACAAGATAGCTTTACTGTTCCCCTTTCATTCCAATGGGAACAAAGTATCCAGAAGTTAAGGGAATTGCTCAAAGTCACACAGTCGGGATGGGCTTCGCATCCTGGTATGTGTAACCTTTTAGGCCAGTCGGCCACAGGTCAGGGCCACTCCGTGCTGGCCTCTGGGTGTGGAAACACCAGAGAAGTGACCTCGCAACCTGGGGAAATGCACATTTACCCAGATAACTGTGATGCTGCAGAGGGAACAATAAGTCCCATCTCAGATGAACGAAAATCCAAACTCTCTCCCAGTCCAAGAGTTGTTTAAATGGTATATATACTGGGATATTATTCAGCCATAAAAAGGTAGAAAATCCTGCCATCTGCGACAACGCAGATGGACCTGGAGGGCATTATGCTAAATGAGATGAGCCAGACAAAGACAAATAGTACATGATTAGATTCCACTGATGCATGGAATCTAAAACAAACAAACAAAAAATTTTTAATTGAACTCATAGATTTATGGAATGTGAATTATGAATCAATAAAAAAGAAAGAAAATAAGTAATGCAAGAGCTAAAAACATGAACACTTCTCTTTCTCTACGCTCTTGCCCATCACTAGGCTTCCCGCCTTATTTCTGATACTTCCATGATCCTTGACCCTATCAGATTTCAGATCTCTCCCAGAAAACATTCCTGGGAGAATAGAGTGGTGGCTGCCAGGGGTCAAGGGCTGGGGAGGTGGGGAGAGGCTGGCAAAACGCTACCAGCTTCCAGTGAACAGATGAATAATTTCTGGAGATCCAACGTATAGCGTGGTGACAATAGTTGACAAGTGCATAACTGAAATTTGCTAAGAGTAGATCTTAAGCATTCTCACACAAAAACCAAAGGTAAATATGTGAGGGGAGGATGCGTTCGTTAACTCGCTCCTTCCACAAGTGGACGCGTGCATCAAACGATCACGTCGTACACTTGTCAGTTATACCTCAAGAAGGTGGGGTAAGGAGGAGAGGGGCAGGATGAAAACACCAAACTTGAAGAGCTTGAGTAATGATGGAAAGTGCTGGCTTCAAAGTGCTTCAAGGTCTAGAATTTGACTCATTGTGTAGGATAATGAGATTGCAGTGATAATGATTATTTTCTCCCCCGATATCCCACCCACATCTGCCTCCCTCTGTAACAGATGATGCCAGGTCTCCTCCACCCCTGCTCCACAGATCCCTTTGCCATTTTTATGCACTCTGGATCATCGTTTCTTTCACTTCCCGATGTGAACATTTGTATCTCTTTGTCGGGGGACTGCCAGGAAGGACCCCAAGTGCCTCGGGATCTATGTATCCCAGGGATACCTCTTCTGCACCTCCTACAATGTCGCTTTGACATTAATACTTATTTGAGTCTGTTGGCGGCACTGAATCCAAGAGACCCTCAAAAGCAGCAAACTATCAGCGCATCTCCAAGGACATAAGAGAACAGGGTGGGAACAGGTGTTTCCCGGGGCCCGGATGGAAGAAGAGGAACATCAGCCCTGCCTTACACTTCATCTAGCCTACAGCTTCTCTCACACAACGACTCACTAGAAATGAGAAGTGAACTCTCACAAGACTTTCCCCTTCCCATGGTGCCACAACCCGCCAATCTGAGTTCACCCTGAGATGTCCGCGTTTCCTAGGCCAAATTTCACCTCACTCTTTACAAACTGCCAGAATAAATTACAAGGAGTCTCTGGTGTCAGTGTGAAGGAATCACACTGAGTAGTGGGATACAGCTTGCCACGGGGTGTAAATGAGGTCACAGGCAGCAGAGGGGAAGCCTGGCCTTGTGTGCACCTATGCATCCGTATGTACAGGCTGGGGGCATCATATCTGCGCTTAAAGACTTGATTCCATTTAGAATTGCTGCGGTATAAATTTGAACTCAGAAAGTACATCTCAAGAAACGATCTACACACCCACTAGGATGTCTATAATAAAATAAAAGGAAAATAAGTGTTGGCAAGGACGTGGAGATATTGGAACCCACACGTATTACTGGTGGGAATGTAAATTGGTGCGGCCACATTGGAAAACAATTTGGCAGTTTCTCAAAAAGTTAAACATAGAGTCACCATATGTCCCAGCAATTCTACTCCTAGGTGGATATCCAAGAACATTGGAAGCAGGGACTCAAACAGGTACTTGCCCACCAATGCTCAGGGCAGCCTTAATTGCGATACCCGAAAGGTATGAACAACCCAGTGTCCATCATGGGGATCGGAATGGGGAGAGACTGCTTACAGGGTAGCACATTTCATTTGGGGTCTAAGAATGTTCTGGAATTAGAGAGTGGTGATGGTTGCACAGTCTTGTGAATATACCAAATGCCACTGAACCGTGTGCTTTAAAAGGGTGGATTTATGGAATGTGAATTATGAATCAATAAAAAAGAAAGAAAATAACTAATGCAAGAGCTAAAAACATGAACACTTCTCTTTCTCTTTACCCTCTTGCCCATCACTAGGCTTCCCGCCTTATTTCTGATACTTCCATGATCCTTGACCCTATCAGATTTCAGATCTCTCCCAGAAAACATTCCTGTTATGAATTATGTTCATAAAGCTGGAGTAGAAATCATTTCCCAAGTCTGCTAATACTGAATAAAAACATTTTCAAAGGCTATTACTTATTTTGCGAAGACATTTTTGGGAGATACCTTTAAAAAAAAAACTGGTTATTCCAGCATAGATTCTAATGACAGCCTTGAACAATTTTGGCTCTTTGGAGTCGATTACAGGGAGGTTATGAGTTGCAGAAATTAAGGATGAGTAAGCAACTAGATGCCAACTTACATTATATATTTGGCCATTAAAATCTGGATGAGCTCCTATTTTCATCCAAAGATGCCAAAAGCTCTAACTTTTACAAGCATCTCCAAGGATAGACTCTTAGTCAATTCCTCATGGAAAAGCAACATCAGAGAAAAATAACTTAATATTCACCTGTTTTTGAGAACTTTAAAGTTTTAGCAAATCCTTGATCACACACATTCCCAAAGCACCTGGGCTCCACGGGTCCCCATCCTGTTGCCCAAACCAGACACACAAGCTCATTCCCATTCTTCACAAAACTCCGCCATGGTTTTTTGTTATGTAAAATGACAAGCAACCCACCTCTAGCTGTTTTACTCATCAGCTTTTCCTTAACCCATGAGGAGCTTGGGGTCATCTTCCCAGAAAGGCAGTCATTCTCCCCATCATAGTGAGAAAGCAGGCATCACGATTCTTCTTCTGTGCCTTTTATTCAAAGGGGAATGCCTGCCTCATGAGGTGGATATAATTTGGAAAAACATCTCTCAAATTATCTTACCATTTTTTACTCCAGTAGCTCCACGTCCATTGTGGTCATCTAGAAAACAGGATGCAGGAGGAAAAAAGTCACAATGACTGAGTGGAAACCTTGGGGACCTACGTCCTCACATTCTGTTTATGGACTCTAAGCCCTCTTTGGGAAGCAGACAATGCCTTTTCCACTCTTGGGATGCTCACTGGGTCCCCAAACCAGGGCCAGAACATTAGATGGCTTTTTTTTTTTTTAAAGATTTTATTTATTTATTTATTTGAGGGGTGGGGAGAGGCAGAGGGAATCTCAAGCAGACTCCATGCTGAGCACAGAGCCCGACACAGGGCTCGATCTCACGACCCTGAGATCATGACCTGAGCCAAAATCAAGAGTCAGATGCTCAACGACTGAGCCACCCAGGCACCCCCAGGTGGCTCTTTTTAATGCTCCTGGAGTTTGATATTATTTTTAGTAACAAAAACATTTATAAATTATCCCACTGATTTCTCCCCTTCCAATCCTATTCCTTACCAGTCTTCTCCATCCCAGGAAAGAGCACCACCACTTTGCAAATATTTTCTCCCTTTGGTAAGTTGTCTTCTCATCTTGCTGTTTCTTTTGCTGTGCAGAAAAGCTTTTTGCTTGATGCAATCCCACTTATTTATTTTTGCATTTGTTTCTTGTGCTTTATGTGTCATATAAAAAAAAATCATTGCCAAGATCATGCAAAGGAGCTTTTCCCGTTTTCTTCTTGGTGCCTTATGCCTTGGGGTCCTACATTTAAGTCTTTAATACATTTTGAGTTAATTTTTGTGAGTGGTGTAAGATGAGGGTCCAATTTCATTCTTCTGCATGTGTTTATCCAGTTTTCCAACATCATTTAGTGAAGAGACTGTCCTCTCCCCATTGAGTACTTTTGGCTCTCCTGCCAAATGTTAGTTGGTTGTATATGTGAGGGTTTAATTCTGGGCTCTTGATTCTGTTCCATTGATCTATGTGTCTATTTTTATGCCAGTGCCACACCATTAGGATTATAAAACTTTGTAGTATAGTTTGAAAAAAGAGTGTATGATATCCCTAGCTTTATTTTTCTTTCTCAGTATTGCTTTGGCTATTCAGGATCTAGCAGGTTTTTGGTTGAGTCTTGAGGATTTTCCATAATAAGATTATATCATCTGCAAATAAAGACAGTTTTACTTCTTCCTTTCCAGTTTGGATGCCTTCCATTTCCTTGTCTTGCCTGATTGCTCTGGCTAGGACCTCCAGTACTATGTTGAACAGGAGTGGTAAGAGTGGACATCCTTGTCTTGTTTCTGATCTCAGAGGAAAGATTTTGACCTTTTGCCTTTGAGTACAATGCTAGCTGTGGACTTGTTGTGTATGCACTGTTATGTTGAGATGCATTCCTTCTACACCTGATTTGTGGAGAGTATTTGATCTTGAAAGGATGTTGTATTTTGTCAAGTGCTTTTTCTGCATCTACTGAGATGATCATATGATTTTTGTCTTTTATTCATTAATGTGGTCAATGACATTGATTGTGTAGGTTGAACCATCCTTGCACCCCAAGGATAAATCCCACTTAACCATAGCATATGATCTTCGTAATGTGCTGTTGAATTTGGTTGCTAATGTTTTGTTGAGAATTTTTGCATCTGTGTTCATCAGGGATATTGCTCTGTAGGTTTCTCCTAGTGTCTCTATCTGGCTTTGGTATCAGGATAATGCTGGCCTCATGAAATGAGTGTAGGAATGTTCCCTCTTCTTCAGTTCTTTTTTAAAGTAGGCTCCACACCCAGCATGGGGCTTGAACTCATCACCCTGAGATCAAGAGTCACATGATCTACCGACTGAGCCAGCCAGGCACCCCCACGTCTTCCATTTCTGGTAAGAGTTTGAGAAGGGTTGGCCTTATTTCTTCTTTAAATGCCTGGTAGAAAGCACCAGTGAAGCCATCTGGATGTGGGCTTTTCTTCATTGGGAGGTTTTTGATTATTGAGGCAATCTCCTTATCTGTTATTGATCTGTTTAGATTTTCTATTTCTTCATGATTCAGTCCTGGTTTATAGACTTCTACAAAGATTCTCTTATCCATGGGTGATTGCCCAAGTCTCCAGGTGCTTCTAGGCCATGGCCAACAGGGCCTGGAACTAATTTACAGTCTCCTGCAGGTTCCACAGCTGGCACTGAGGTCTGTCTGCCTATTACTCAGGTGAGTGAGACTCCTCTTGGGTCCCTTGCTGTATGGTGCCAGATCCCACAACTCCCACAAAGGCACTTTTGTTTGTGGATGGATGCCAAACTTCTTTTTTTTTTTTTTAAAGATTTTATTTATTTATTTGACAGAGAGAGACACAGCGAGAGAGGGAACACAAGCAGGGGGAGTGGGAGAGGGAGAAGCAGGCTTCCCATTGAGCAGGGAGCCAGATGCAGGGCTTGATCCCAGGACCCTGAGATCATGACCTGAGCCGAAGGCAGACTTAACGCCTGAGCCACCCAGGCACCCTGGACGCCAAACTTCTGTTGTTGAAGTGGGGGTCAAAAATGAGGGATGAGGGGTGGGGGGGATGGGTTAGCCTGGTGATGAGTATTAAAGAGGGCATGTACTGAATGGAGCACTGGGTGTTATACGCAAATAATGAATCATGGAACTAATGATGTGATGTATGGTGATTAACATAACATAATAAAAAAATTAAATGTTATTAATTAAAAAAAATTAGGGATGTCTTATGCTGTCCTGATAGTTTGGATTTTTCTTCTTTTCTCCACTTGTAGTGGCTCTGGCATTCCTGTTTTCAGCAGAACAATAACAATACAATTGGATCTGTTGTATGCAATCAGACATCAGAGTCTCTGTGACCTGGAGTCATCTCAGGGTCTATGTTGAGTAAGAGGGAAGGTTTTAGGACTGATCCTGAAGAGGACAGAGCAACAGGGGTGAAGGAAAGGACCAGGGATTCCCCTTTTCCAATGCACCTGGGGACATTCTTACCCATCTCTCTATTAACCACATATTTTATGTTCTGAATTTGACCCTTTGATATCTTGGGACCTTGGTGACCCTGGAGAGATTCCCCCCCCCCGCCAAGGGTATCCACTTCCCCAAGTGTGCCTCTCAAGTGCAAACCAACCAATCCAGAGCTTACGCTCCCAACCACCTCTTCTATGGCTCTCACACTCTGAGTCACTATTCCCCTGCCCTAATCATTCTAGGGCCAGATACCAGACAATCAGGGACAGCCTCTATACCCCAGAGCCAATCCTAAGCCTATTCCTTCCCACAGAAATCATGGTAAAGGCTCTTGCCCAGTTTTATTCCTCCCTCTGTTTCCTGACTGATCCTGGTGCTTCTCTATGTGGTCCTGCATGGCATGACATACCCTTCTTCTTGGGAACTCTAACAAACTATCTCTCTCTCTCTCTCTTTTAAAATATTTTATTTATTTATTTATTTATTTATTTATTTATTTATTTGAGAGAGAGAGAGAGAGAGAGAGAGAGCTTGAGAGAGAACACCAGCAGAGGGCAGGGTGGGGCAGAGGGAGAGGGAGAAGCAGGCTCCCTGGGATCATGACCTGAGCCAAAGGCAGACACTTAACCAACTGAGCCACCCAGGTGTCCCCAAAATATCTTTTTCTCAATGACAATCGTCTCTTCATCTTTGGCCATACTCTACTTCAAATTTTCTATTAATACCTATATTATTTTTTTTAAAACTTTTATTTATCTATTTGACACACACACAGAGAGCACAAGCAGGGGGAGAAGCAGATGAGGGAGAAACGGGCTCCCCACTGAGCAGGTAGCCCAATGCGGGGCTTGATGCCAGGACCCCGGGACCACAACCTGAGCTGAAGGCAGACGCCTAACCAACTGAGCCACCCAGGAGCGCCTAATACCTATATTCGAAAACACTCTCCCACATCCACCTCATTGATACACACTCAGAATCTCTGATGAGAGCCTGTCCCCACCCTCACTTCCCATTTCCCCCATACTTTACACTCAAGTGGTCACATCTGTCTGTTTCCTGGACTTTTCCTTCCCCAGCCAGGTTCCATCACAGGAAAAGGAATATGTGCCTCAAGAGCAAGCCTGAAGCTGCCTTTCTCACCTTTGACCTTCAGCTGCAGGTATTCACTCTCCCCTGACCACTCCTCGGAGATCATCATCTTGTAGGCACAAAAGTACATCCCAGCATCCTTCCGTTCCAGGTGAATGAGGAGGAATTCAGCCTTGTGTTCTGTGGATCTCTGCTCCTGCCTGTACCCGGAGTGCCGCAGCTTCCTCAGCATGAATGTCACATTCTGGAAGTGAGACTGGCACCTCAGGGTCACGTCTCCTCTGTGTCCAACCACTAAGCTGGACAAGGCACTGAGGGAGGGTTTGGGAAGCATCTCTGGAAAGAATTCAGAGTTAGTCTGACTCTTCATCATGATGACCACCAGTGCCCTCCCAAAATTCAGAGGATTAAAGAGAAAATTTGGGTTGCAGGAACAGAGAATTTATGCAGGAAAACTCACCATTCTTTTTCTTGTCTTCAAAGCCCAGGCTAAGCCCTGGAGGAGAAACCCTCCTGAGACATGGATTATATATTCATCTTTGACTACATATCAGGCAGAGAATGCATGATTAATTTGTTAAAGATCCATTCTATTTCTTTTTTTTATTAACATATTATGTATTATTTGTTTCAGGGGTACAGGTCTGTGACTCATCAGTCTTACACAATTCACAGCACTCACCATAGTACATACCCTCCCCAATGTCCATCACCCAACCACCCCATCCCTCCCACCCCCCTCCACTCCAGCAACCCTCAGTTTGTTTCCTGAGATTAAGAGTCTCTTATTGTTTGTCGCCCTCTGTTTTCATCTTGTTTCATTTTTCCCTCCCTTCCCCTATGATCCTCTGTCTTGTTTCTCAAATTCCTCATATCATTGAGGTCATATGATAATTGTCTTTCTCTGATTAACTTATTTCGCTTAGCATAATACCCTCTAGTTCCATCCACATCGTTGCAAATGGCAAGATTTCATTTTTTGATGGCTGCATAATCCATTGCATATATATACCACATCTTCTTTATCCATTCATCTGTTGATGGACATCTAGGCTCTTTCCATAGTTTGGCTATTGTAGACACTGCTGCTATAAACATTGGGGTGCAGGTGCCCCTTTGGATCCCTACATTTGTATCTTTGGGGTAAATACCCAATAGTGCAATTGCTGGGTCATAGGGTAGCTCTATTTTCAACTTTTTGAGGAGCCTCCATACCATTTTCCAGAGTGGCTGCACCAGCTTGCATTCCCACCAACAGTGTAGGAGGATTTCCCTTTCTCCGCATCCTCACCAACATCTGTCGTTTCCTGACTTGTTAATTTTAGCCATTCTGACTGGTGTGAGGTGATATCTCACTGTGGTTTTGATTTGTATTTCCCTGATGCCGAGTGATGTTGAGCACTTTTTCATGTGTCTGTTGGTCATCTGGATGTCTTCTCTGTAGAAATGTCTGTTCATGTCTTCTGCCCATTTCTTGATTGGATTATTTGTTCTTTGGGTGTTGAGTTTGATAAGTTCTTTATAGATTTTGGATACTAGCCCTTTATCTGATATGTCGTTTGCAAATATCTTCTCCCATTCTGTCAGTTGTCTTTTGGTTTTGTTGACTGTTTCCTTTGCTGTGCAAAACTTTTTATTTTGATGTAGTCCCAATAGTTCATTTTTGCCCTTGCTTCCCTTGCCTTTGGTGATGTTTCTAGGAAGAAGTTGATGCAGCTGAAGTCAAAGAGGTTGCTGCCTGTGTTCTCCTCAAGGATTTTGATGGAAGATCCATTCTATTTCTTTAAGGCACTTCCTTGGATTGATTTTTTACCTGTTACTTATGTCCCATTGTCTCTCATTCAGGAGTTATGATTATGTACAAAATTCCAGCAACCTTTTCTGATTTATCATGTTGCTTTCATGATCAGGCTTTCTTTCACCATCTAGACATCATTGCACATTTACCTATATTTTCCTCTCCTGCTTTTTATGACTGCACTTTTCACTCTTGCCACTTAAATAACACAATGGTTATTTTACTGTGGAGTGTGAGCGGAGGGTTTCCTCCCTGATTCAAACAGACAGAAGTCGCTCTCTCTGACCAAGTTCTTCTTTTCACAAGGAGTTCAAGACATTCATGGTCCTAAATGCTCTTCCCACATGTGGCTTTGATCTTTACAAACATCAGACCCTACCTCTCCTTTGTTCCATTCTATGTATTTCATTCTGGGATAGGAAGGTCATTCCTTCGATGGAAATATGGGAAACCAGTCTTGGGGTCTGTCAAGACGTGAAGCTAGAATTTCTGTAGGTGCGAGAATGTCTCAGAACACCTGGCCCTTGTTTAAACTCAGGGGTCAGCTCACAACATGGACCCCCCCAAGTTTCACCAAGAAGAAAGGAGGTAGGGGTCTGACGGTGCACTGAGGCCAAACTTGTAGTGACAGTGGCTGGGATTTGTAGGTAGAAATCATCATCTGGGTGGTCAGGGGGTCCTAGGTCTCCTGGTCTCTTTTTAGTCCCCCCTCCCCCACAAACCTGCTTTTAGACTCATGTTGTCTCAGCTCTGGTACAGCCAGTATTCTGCTCAAAACAGTGATTCCCCCTCTTTTTTTTAAGTAAGCACATAGGTGCCTTTAGTTCATTTTGCCTTGTGAAACCCTACTGGAGAATAGGGTGTAAAAGTGAGGGAGAGGTTCTCTTTCTTTGACGAATAAACTGTATATACTTAAGTTACACAACATGATGATATATATATACATATATAGAATGATTACCACAATCAAGCCAGTTAACACATCCATCAGCTCACAGAGTTACCCTTTGTGTGTGCGTTCATGTGTGTCTGTGATGAGAACACAGAATTATCAACTACAGTCTCCATGCTGTGCATTTGATCCCTTAGAACTTGCCCCTCTTTCCTAACAAGGGACCACAGTGGATGCAGACAAGGAAGACTGGCCACACAGAGGAAACCATCATTGAGGGGAATGCAGGATAACTTGAAAAAAGCATATTTCTCAGTAAAGAAGTACAATAAAAACCCATCAATTATTAAGTGTCTGTCTTTTGGCTGACTCTTTACAGACACTGACCACTGACATGCTTATATTCTTTGGCAGGTCCTTGGCAGACAGCTGTCATCTACCCTACAGCTACCTGCTCTGAACAACATCCAGCCTCGTTAGGTGCTACACCTTCCACTGAGATAGGAAGGAGTGGGAACACTAGAAACCACAGCTCCCTAAAAACTAATGTGATACTGTGATTTATGATAAATATACATTTGGTCTTTGTCCTGGTTCCTGGGACACAGCTGCTAAACACTTGGAATTTTCTTAACCATGCTTTTTTAAGTCTATTTATTTATTTATTTATCTATTTTAGTAATCTGTATACCCAACATGGGGCTCGAACTCATGACCCCGAGATCAAGAGACCCGTGCTCTTCTAAGTGAATCACCCAGACACCCACCCTTGGAATTTTCTATACAAGTGTCTTTCATTATGTTAATGAAGTGACTTTTGGACCACACCTAAGGATGAGGGCTGGTTGCCGGGGGAACCAACCATATGATGACAAGGTTGAAACATTCAATTCCACCTCCTTGACCTCTGGGAAGGAGAGAGGAGTTGGAGATGGAATCAATTGCCAATGGCCATGATTTAATCAATTGTGTTTATGTAATGAAGACTCTATAAAAGCTCAAAAGGATGGGTTCAGAGAGCTTCCAGGTTGATGAACCCGATGGAGGTGCAGGGAGAGTGGTGTGCCTGGAGAGGACGTGGAAGCTCTGTGCTCTTTCCCCATACCTAGCCTTCCATATTTCTTCCATCTGGCTGTGCAATTATATCCTTTTATAATACACTCATAATCCAGTAAGTTGAATATTCCTGTGAGTTCTGTGAGCCTCTCTAGTGAATTAATTGAACCCGAAGAGGGGGTCATGTGAACTCCTGATATATAGCCAATTGATCAGGTGATAACCCAGACTTGCCACTGACATCTAAAATGGGGAGGAGGCAGTTTTATGGGACGGAGCCCTTACATACAGGATCTGATGCTAACTCCAGGTAGTGTCAGAACTGAATTAAATTATAGAACACCCAATTGGTGTTCAAGAATTGCTTGGTGGTGTCAGGGCCCCACCCTCACACATTGGAATTGGGGGGGCCAGAACTGGATCTCCAGATTACTGTTAAATTATAATTTAACAGATCCCTTGAACTCATCATCTGGAAAGCTTAAAAATTTTATGTAAAACATTATTCAGATTGTAATATAAAATACTATCCTATTCTATTATAGAGAGAAATGTTGCAGTGATATATCATGGATGGACCTTAAAAACATCATTCCAAGAAAAAGAAGCCAGACATGAAAGGTCACATGGTATGATTCCATTTACATGATATATCCAGAATAGCTACATCTAGAGAGACAGAAAGTGGATGGGTGGTTAGCCCCCCCGGGGAAGGGGGATGGCGAGTGACTGCTTTGTGGGTACAGCATTTCCTTGACGGGTGATGAAAACATTTTGTTGTGGTTACACAGCATTGTGAATGTTTAAAATGTCACAAAATTGTCTACTTTAAAATGGTTACTCTCATGTGCATTGTATCTCAATACATTTTTAAAATTTTATGTAAATTGGGTACACTTACCGTCTGTACTAAAGATGTATAAAGATTCAAATATCAGAAGTCTGCCTGAAATCAGATGAAGTGGAAATGACTAGTTGTGTTAGTTTAGACAAGCAACCTCCATTAAGTGCAATGGTAGATCATGTTTCCAGAGCAGCCTGACCCAGGGATTCAGTGCTGTTGCAGTCTTTTCTCTCAGCTGCCGTGTGTCATTCCCTCCGAATATTGTCAGGACAGGACCAGGAGCCTGGAAGCAGGGCTGTAGGCAGCTACGATCTGGCATCTTTGGAAGGTCACACTCAGAGGACCAAAATTTATCTGTGTCTCAATGCCAGTTTGAGAAACTTCCTGACAGAACTGGACTGGCTTGCTTTGCATCATAGACCTATCTGTGGAATAATGATTATTTGCGTCCTCCAGAAAGGTATGTTCAAGTCCTAACCCCCAGTACCTGTGAATGTGAACTTATTTGGAATTGCATTATTTGGGAGTAGGCTGGTCCCATAATTCAGTATGACTGGTGTCCCCATAAGAAGAGGTGGAGAGCTATGGAGACAGACATAGAGGGAAGATGGCCATGTGAAGACATGAGGGATTGCAGCAAAGCATCTGCAAATAAGGAACCCAAGGACTGCCTGCCATCCCCAGAAGTGAGGAGAGCCTGGAACAGATTCTCCCTGGGAGCCTCAGAGCCCTCAGAAGGAACCAACTCTGCTGGCACCTTGATCTTGGACTTCTGGCCTCCAAAACTGTGAGAGAATAGTTTTCTGTTGTTTTAAGCCACTTGGTGTGTAGCACTTTGTCACGGCAGCCCTGGGAAATGAATACAAGCAGGATGAGGTCAGTCTCTTGACTGTCCAACTTATTCTGCCCTACAGCTGGAGGTTTGGGGTAGAGTGACTGACAGCCACCCCTAAAGCTCAAATGTGTGTGTGGGAGGAGCATTACCCCAAAGGAAGGGCTGTGTCTCCGAAGAGGAAGGAAGGAACTGGGGCAGATGACAAGTCCTGATATCCTCTACCCACACCCCTCAGCCCCACCTCACGAAAGAGGAACTGGGGGCTTGGTCAGTGGAGCTGCTGGTTCACAGCCTAGAGCTCCTATGAGAGCTCGTGGCTCTCATGGCTTGCCAGGGTTGTAATCCCAGGTCTTCCTTTTTACAGGCTGAGGTCCCTTTGATTACATCATGTTCAAGTTGAGGACAGTTAAAATCAGTAGAGGGTAGAGCTGGTCAGAAAATTTTCTTTTCATCCATTGTCCCCAGACATAGCCCTTCTCTGTAATCTTGGTCTGTACCCAAACCTACAGCTCCACACCCTATGTATTCTGCCCTCCTATATGCCAACAAACATTCCTGGGAGGATTGGTATTTGGACAAATCAGGTTTGGAGACCTCATTGGAGCTCTGCATTGCTCAGCTGAGTAAATGAGGGTATCAGCCCACGTCTCTGAACCTCACTTCCCCATCTCCTGTGTGCAAGTACCAAAACAGAGGCATGTCAACCACAGCCCCTGAAACTCTGACAGCTAGCATGTGTCCAGTACACAGAAGATATCACTTCACATCAACCCCTGCTTCACCATGAATTTTCTCACCATCCAAACCCATCTGTCCCAGTCCTGGAGACTCACCAAGGCAAAGCAGGGGCAGGAATTCTCTGAGCTTAGTGTCCCTTCCACTCAGACCAAGATCCCATCTTCAGTTTTACAGTTCAAAGGAAGAAGAGGAATTGGGCCATTGCAGGTCTTTCCTGCCGACTTCGTCTCCAGGTTGTGTGGATAGAGGTTTTACCCTGACACTTTTGTTCTCCACTGCCTATTGTACAATTTCCTTCTCACAACCAAGGCAGGAAACCATCAATGACATCTCCCTCAGAAACAGTGTGTGTGGCTCCAGCACCACCCACCCTGAGATCTGTCCTATCTCATCTGAAGTCCTGACCAAGACATTTTCTTTAAAAAAAATAATAATTGTTTGGGGAAAAGTTTTAGAGTTGCAAAAAAGTAGTACAGAGTTCTCACATACCCATCAAGCAGCTTTCCCATTAGTAATAGAACAACAGTACATTATGAAAACCAGAAAGTTGGCATGGGCACAATAAGATGGCCGGGCAAGCACATGGTAACATCTAAAATGTGGGAGTCTCTGGTAATGCTGGGCACCCACTGCTCCTGAGAGCAGGGGGTTCAACAAGAAAACAGAAATGGATGTTTGTCTTTGAGTCTGAACAACTTGTCTTTTAGTAAATCTTGACAAATGGGTCACACCATATCAGATTTTTGCTGTGCTTTCTTTTACAGAAGAGAAAGTAATCAAGGGAAACTGGAAAGCTTCGATTCAATTTTTTTCCCAAATGGGAAGAGTATAATCCCATTTTCCATGAACAAAGGAGGAAATACTGATGAATTAAAGGAGCAAATTCTTCTCTAGAAGTACAACACTCATCCTTCCTTCCCAGCTACTCATTGCTTCCCAAGTCTGTTAAGAACTCTTGTTGATTATTGATTGCCTCATGTAACTGAAAACACTAGGGTTGTGTTCAAGTATGAGTAGATCCAAATGCTCAAATAATGGTACTGGGAATCTGTCTTTCTCCATGTCTAGGTGCCACTTTCCACTGTGTAGACTTCACTCTCAGGTTGGTTCTCTTCATGTGCTGGGAAGCTATGCACCAGCATCTCTAGGCAGAAATAGTGCACTGGCACTAACACTTGCAACACTTGCAACAAAACTCATAAGGCAGACTCAACATTGCTTGATTGGTTTACATGTCCATTCCTAAATTGATCGATGTAGCCAAGGTGATGGATTGCACTAACTGGTCTTTCTGGGGCATATGAGCACACCTGCAGCTAGAAAGCTGGATCAGTCTCATTTAACCACAAAGAGTAAGTGACAGGTGGCCAATGTCCCAGTGAAGATAGTCATACCAGGACATACTGGATATGAATAGTTGGACATGCAATAAGTCAATACTGTCCACTCTGTGCCTTCATCTGCCCGTTTCAGGCTATGCCCAGGCAAGATTTTGTCTCCTTCCAAGAACTAATCTATGATTCTTCTCTCCCTTAACCATGAGTCTTTAACCATGAGATTGCTGAAAGCATGTGCAGTTGCCATAATATTATTATAACTATACATCAGTTTTCTAGAATTATTAGGTCCCCCACCTGGAGGTATGAGAGGTGGGAGGAAACATGGTTGTCTGCTGATACACAATGTTACAAGGGTTGAAAAATCCTATACTACATTGCAAAGCAGATGTCAGCACTTCAGATACACAATACCCTAGCAGAGGTAACACACAGTTGAGCAAGAAACAAAAAGCAGATTTTCATACATTCTCTGAGAGGGCAAAATAGATCAAGTCCCTCAGGTTGGATTGAAATTATTGGAGGGATTAAGACTGGAAGGGAAGACAGAGTAAGCAGAGAAAAGCCCCAATCCTGGGCCACTACAACTCTGGGTCACTACATGTCTATTAAAGACACCTTGTTTGAATCTCTTAAAGCTCATTGCCTTCTGATTCAACCTCAACCTTGTCCTGCAATTATTTTTTAAGTACAATTTTTCAGAAGTTAACATTCCAACACAACACCAGTGGAAAGTGAGTCCTGATTTTTGTTAAGATTTGAAATCACCAAAGTTCAACCCTAACTAGTAATGGGAATGTATGTCTGAATGCACAAATGCACACATGCTCTCCACATCTCCCAGATCCACTTATTTCTGGTCCAGGTCTTTCTGCATTCAGATGAGGTGACTTGGCTCTGGTTCACATGTCCTTCATCTTCCCCCTGAGAACAATGTGCCAGCTCTCACATGTCCTCGTGGAAATGGAAGATGCACAGGGGCTAAATCAAAATATGCTGTGCCCCTGAAGACCTGGGCTGCAGTTAAAATATTGCCATTTGCACCTTATCCTGTTGACCAAAGCAAATAACACAGCTGAATCCATAGTTGAGGGGCTATTAATGCGAACTATTGCACTATGACTTCTTGGCCAGTTATTCATATACATCCTATGTACAAAATATGCTCATTCCCATCCCAGGACCTGTTCCCCCAAATTTCCATCCAATAATGGTGTCAGGTTTTAAATCCAGCACCTAGTGATCATTATCAAGTCTATAGGTGGCTCCTTTGGATCCAGGACTCATGAACTAAAAACGCAAATTAGCTGACCCATACATCTGCCATATGATGACAAAACAGAAGTGGGATATAACCACAATAGTCACTGGTTTGCAGCAGTTTCAAAATCACTTTGGGAAAATGCCACCAGATGCCACAATTCTGGGGATGGAAATGTTGCTTCATGAAGTTTCAGTCCTGTTCTCTGTTAGGAGCTTCTCAGCCCACTGTCCTGTGAGGTCTTGGTTCCTCCCTCTGAGATGTCTTTGTTTTATCAACCTTCCTGTCCACTTCTGAAGAGGACCTTGGAGAATATGACCCTCTTGATGGATGGCCCAGTTTCTCAGCTTGCTTTCTGCACATAGGAAGTTGAGCCTCCATGTCTTTGTGTAATTTCTCTAAGGTTATGCTGGCAGCAATTTTGCCAGCGTAGCTCTCAAAACCGTTGTCGCTTTCGGGGCACCTGGGTGGCTCAGTTGGTTAAGCCTCGGACTCTTGATTTTGGCTCAGGTCATGATCTCAGGGTTTCTGGAGCAGAATTCAGTGATCACTTACATACAACACCTACTGCTAATCACATCAAGTGCCCTCCTCAATCCCCATCCTGCCCATCCCCCACCACTTCCCTCCATCAACCCTCAGTTTGTTCTCTAATTAGAGGGTATTATGCTAAGCAAAATAAGTCAATCAGAGAAAGACAAGTATCATATGATTCACTGATATGAGGAATTTGAGAAACAAGACAGAGGAAGGGAGGGGAAAATGAAACAAGACGAAACCAGAAAGGGAGACAAACCATAAGAGACTCTTAATCTCAGGAAACAAACTGAGGGTTGCTGGAGTGGAGGGGGGTGGGAGGGATGGGGTGGCTGGGTGATGGACACTGGGGAGGGTATGTGCTATGGTGAGCACTGTGAATTGTGCAAGACTGATGAATCACAGACCTGTACCCCTGAAACAAATAGTATATTATATGTTAATTAAAAAATAAAAAAAGACTCTTATGATTTCCTTCCCTCTCTCCTTTTTTCTTTCCCCCCTTCCCGTATGTTCATCTTTTTATTTGTTAAATTCCACATATGAGGGAGATCATATGGTATTTGCCTTTCTCTGAATAACTTATTTCATTTAGCGCTCTAGCTCCATCCATTGCAAATGGCAAGATTTCATTCTTTTTGATGGCTGAGTAATATTCCATTGTATATATATACACCACATCTTTTCGATGGACATTTGGGCTCTCTCCATAGTTTGGCTACTGGGGACATTGCTGCTATTAACATCTGGGTGCATGTACCCCTTCAAGTCTGTAGTTTTGTATCCTGTGGATAAATACCTAGTAGTGCAATTGTTGGATCATAGGGTAGTTCTATTTTTAACTTTTTTTATTTTAGATTTTATTTATTTATTTGAGAGAGAGAGCTTGAGTGGGGGAAGGGCAAAAGGGAGAGGGAGAAGCAGACTCTCTGCTGAGCAGGGAGCCCGACATGGGGCTCAATCCCAGGACCCTGAGATCACGACCTGAGCCGAAGGCAGTTAATCAACTGAGCCACTCAGGTGTCGCTATTTTTTTTTAAAAGATTTTATTTATTTATTTGACAGAGAGCGAGCGAGAGCAGGAACACAAGCACGGGGAGTGGGAGAGGGAGAAGCAGGCTTCCTGCCTAGCAGGGAGCCCGATGTGGGGCTCGATCCCAGGACCCTGGGATCATGACCTGAGCTGAAGGCAGACGCTTAACGACTGAGCCACCCAGGTGCCCCAGGTGCCGCTATTTTTAACTTTTTGTGGAACCTCCAAACTGTTTTTCAGAGTGGCTACACCAGTTTGTATTCCCACTAACACTGTAAGAGTGTTCCCCTTTCCCTACATTTTTGCCAACACCTGTTGTTTCTTGTGTTGTTAATTTTAGCCATTCTGACAGGTGTGAGGTGGTATATTAATCCGGTTTTGATTTGTATTTCCCTGATGATGAATGATGTTGAACATCTTTTCATGTGTCTGTTGGCCATCTGTATGTCTTCTTTGGGAAAATGTCTGTTCATGCCTTCTGCCCATTTCTTAATTGGATTATTTGTTTTTTGGGTGTTGAGTTTGGTAAGTTCTTTATAGATTTTGTTTTTTTAAAGATTTTATTTCTTTATTTGTCAGAGAGTGAGCACAAGCAGGGGTAGCAGCAGGCAGAGGGAGAGGCAGGCGCCCCACTGAGCAAGGACCCCGTCGCAGGACTTGATCCCAGAACTCTGGGATCATGACCTGAGCTGAAGGCAGACACTTACTAACAGAGCTACACAGGCGTTCCAGTTCTTTAGAGATTCTGGATACTAACCCTTTATCAGATATGTCATTTGCAAATATCTTCTCCCATTCTGTAGGCTGCGTTTTAGTTTTGTTGCTTACTTCCTTCACTGTGCAGAAGCTTTTTATCCTGATGAAGTTCCAATAGTTCAGTTTTGCTTTTGTTTCCCTTGCCTCTGGTGACATGTTTAATAAGAAATTGCTGTGACTAAGGTCAAAGAGGTTGCTGCCTGTGTTCTCCTCTAGGATTTTGATAGTTTCCTGTCTTACATTCAGGTCTTTCATCCATTTTTGTGTCTATTTTTGTGTGTGGTGTAAGGAAATGGTCCAGTT